TCTAATTTAAAACTTATTACTAGTTTGCCCCTGGTTGGATAGTTTCAGTACCTTTGTTATATCACCTTTGTTTAGCCCTGACTTCTATTTGTACACCTTGATCATATTGTCCCTCACTCTCCGTCTCTCGGGGGAGTGCAGATTAAGATGCTTTAATCTGTCTCTGTACTCAAGGTTCCTAATGCCCAGGAATAGTCTTGTCATTCTCCTCTGAATTCTTTCTACGGATTTTATATCCATTCTTTCTAGGGATTCTATATCTATTTTTTCTATGGATTCTATATCCATTCTGTAGTACGGTGACCAGAACTGAACCGCTTGATCCTAGTGAGGTCTCACAAGCGCAAGATATAGTTTTAGGATGACCTCGCTAGTCTTGTAGCTAACACTCCTTTGTATGAACCCAAGTACTTTATTAGCCTTGTTTTGAGCAAATACACACTGTTTACTAGGTTTAAGATCCCTACTTCTCATTACATCGTTGTTCATGTGGTATCTGGTTTCTCTGTTTACATCTCCTAGACTAAGTATTTTACATTTGTCCACTTTAAATTTCATCTGCCATTTTTCAGACCATTCAAAAAATTTGTTTAGATCTTCCTGTAGTGTTGTGGAGTCCACATCAGATTTAATTACACGCCCTATTTCAGTGTCATCTGCAAATTTACTTACGTTGCTGTCAACGCCTATACCTGTGTCATTTATGTATATAATAAATAATAATGGTTCAAGTACTGAGCCTTGGGGGTATTCCATTAGTGACGTTATTCCAATCGGATTTAGTGCCGTTGATGCTTACTCGCTGTTTCCTGTCCTGTAACCACACCCTTCACCCATTTTAGAATATATCTCCCAATGCCATGAGCCTATCTTTTTCTTATTAGTCTTTCGTGGGAACTGTCGAAGGTTTTGCTAAAGTCAAAATATACCACATCATATTTGTGCCCGTCGTCCACTGATTCGAAAACAGCTGAAAAGAATGCTAATAGATTAGTCAAACATGAATGCCTGCTTGTGAAGCCATATTGGGAATCATTGATCAACTTGTGCTTCTCCAGGTGATTTCGAATAGAGTTTGAAATAATTGCTTCCCAAAATTTGCCTACAGTTGATGTTAAACTGATTGGGTGGTAGTTAGAGGATAGTGATCTATCTCCTTTCTTGAAAATTTGTATTATTTTCACATAGCATAGGGCAGAAAAGTGCTAGTATACATAGGAAGGTTCCAGATTTGAAAATGACAACCTGTACTAGAAATACACTATCCTAAGAAGACTGCAGATCCAGTTCACAGGGACTTGAAACCCATGGTCTGAACCCCAAATGTACAATATAGTCTCGATTTACGCGGATTTGGTTTACGCGTTTGGTCATTTACCTGGTACCTTGCCAGACCGACAATTTTTATTTACACGGTTCATTCCATCATTTACGCGGGAAGCGGCGCGGGCATGGTGCGCACAAGGTCGCCCAGTCAACAAAACATTACCGAGTTCTTCACCCGCCACCCACCACAGCCGACCCAAGTCAGTGATAGTGAGGATATGGACTTTTTTTTTTTTTTTTTTTTTTAGATTTGTAGGAATATTACCTATGCGGACCTTAAGCTAAAATGCTGGTCCACCCACTGCTGGGATAAAACACCAGCGTCTTTTTGGTTAAATGTAACATCTCCACCACTAGTTTGGGGGGGGGATGCAACTTTTAGCTTCAGACATGAAAAATATTTACCATTTACTGCCAGTAAACAATGGAAACGTAAAATATGTACCAATTAGTAATGAAAAGTTGTGCAGTTCCTTCAGCAAATGAAGCTCACCAACTTACAATAGGCTAAATTACCTTACAACATGTTTTCAGTAGTCTATGTTGAAGTTCTTAGCACAGGCGAACTTATCATATCAAATATGGTATCACAGTTCTCATTGATCTACAAAAAATACCGGTAATAAAAACCTTTTTGATATTTCACACTTAATATAATACCCGGTAATCTATTTCAACCTCCTATTGTTTACAACGACGCATGACGCACCACCAGCTGTTGAGTATTAGCTACACTTACCTTAACTGTGCCTGAATGAATATATTCTCAGAAATAAATAGTAGTTTTGCTGAAACGTGATGTATTTTAATGTAAAATAGGATATAATACATGACGAAAACAAAAGATTTTACCTAACCTTCCGATGTTCAAGAGAAGTTACTCGTTTTTTTAATAGTTTTTGGTTAAAATACTGTTATATTACAATGGTATTCTATTCATACTGTGCTTGATATAATTCATTCACGGAAATGTAATATTTTTGCTGAAATGACGTAGGTATTACAATGGAAAGTGGGATAAAATCGTGATGAAAACAATGACTTTCGCTTTCTTTCGTTCAAAAGATGTTACCGTAATCGCTTTTCGATGGTTTTCAGTTAAAAACTGTTGTATTACAATAATATTCTATCCTAATTGACTTGAATAAATACTACGATACTATATTTCTGAATATTTTCATTAAAATTCATCCAAATTCATCGTCTGCAGCACCAAACAGCTTCTCCCAGTCCTCTCCTTGAACAGGGCTAGAGGGTACGTGTTTTTCGAATCGTTTTCAGTTAAAAAAAACTGTTACATCACACGTATATTTGACCTAAACTGCGCCTGAATGAATATATTCTCGGAAATAAATAGTAGTTTTGCTGAAACGTGATGTATTTCAATGTAAAATAGGATAAAATACATGACAAAAACAAAAGATTTTACCTAACCTTCCGATGTTCAAGAGAAGTTACTCGTTTTTTAATAGTTTTGGTTAAAATACTGTTATATTACAATGGTATTCTATTCATACTGTGCTTGATATAATGCATTCACGGAAATGTAATACTTTTGCTGAAATTACGTACGTATTACAGTGGAAAGTGGGATAAAATCATGACGAAAACAATGACTTTGAAATACAATGCAATATTAACCCCTAAATCGGTTAATTCGGACAATCGGCTAAAACGGACACCCTTCCCGCCCTATTAGTCCGAATTAACGAGGGTCGACTGTATTATTGATATTTCTCTTAAATATTAATTGTGTGTGTGCATACTATTATAAAATTAAGATGTTATTTTTACTACAATGTACGTACAGTCGACCCTCGTTAATTCGGACCCCTTTAATCCGGATTTCGGATAATTCGGACAAAATTTGAACAAACTTCTTTTTTTTTCTTTTTTTTTAAGATTTGTAGGAATATTACCAACACGGACCTTAAGCTAAAATGCTGGTCCACCCACTGCTGGGATAAAACACCAGCGTCTTTTTGGTCAAATGTAATATCACTACTAGTGTGGGGGGGGGATGCAACTTTTAGCTTCAGACATGAAAAATATTTACCATTTACTGCCAGTAAACAATGGAAACGTAAAATTTGTACCAATTAGTAATGAAAAGTTGTGCAGTTCCTTCAGCAAATGAAGCTCACCAACTTACAATAGGCTAAATTACCTTACAACGTGTTTTCAGTAGTCTATGTCGAAGTTCTTAGCACAGGCTAACTTATCATATCATATACGGAATCAAAGTTCTCATTGATCTACAAAAAATACCGGTAATAAAAACCTTTTTGATATTTCACACTTAATATAATACCCGGTAATCTACTTCAACCTCCTATTGTTTACAACGACGCATGACGCACCACCAGCTGTTGAGTATCAGCTACACGGTACACGTGTTTTTCGAATAGTTTTCAGTTAAAAAACTGTTACATCACATGTATATTTTACCTTAACTGTGCCTGAATGAATATATTCTCGGAAATAAATAGTAGTTTTGCTGAAACGTGATGTATTTTAATGTAAAATAGGATATAATACATGACGAAAACAAAAGACTTTACCTAACCTTCTGATGTTCTAGAGAAGTTACTCATTTTTTTAATAGTTTTTGGTTAAAATACTGTTATATTGTTATATTACAATGGTATTCTATTCATACTGTGCTTGATATAATTCATTCACGGAAATGTAATATTTTTGCTGAAATGACGTAGGTATTAGTGGAAAGTGGGATAAAATCATGACGAAAACAATGACTTTCGCTTTCGTTCAAAAGATGTTACCGTAATCGCTTTTCGATTGGTTTTCAGTTAAAAAACTGTTGTATTACATTAATATCCTATCCTAATTGACTTGAATAAATACTACGATACCATATTTCTGAATATTTTCATTAAAATTCATCGTCTGCAGCACCAAACAGCTTCTCCCAGTCCTGTCATTGAACAGGGCTAGAGGGTATGTGTTTTTCGAATCGTTTTCAATTAAAAAACTGTTACATCACACGTATATTTTACCTAAACTGCGCCTGAATGAATATATTCTCGGAAATAAATAGTAGTTTTGCTGAAACGTGATGTATTTCAATGTAAAATAGGATAAAATACATGACGAAAACAAAAGACTTTACCTAAGCTTCCTATGTTCTTGAGATGTTATTCATTTTTTTAGTAGTTTTCGGTTAAAATACTGTTATATTACAATGGTATTCTATTCATACTGTGCTTGATATAATGATTCACGGAAATGTAATATTTTTGCTGAAATTACGTACATATTACAGTGGAAAGTGGGATAAAATCGTGACGAAAACTATGTCTTTGAAATATAATGCAATATTAACCCCTAAATCGGTTAATTCGGACAATCGGCTAAAACGGACACCCTTCCCCCCCCCCCCCATTAGTCCGAATTAACGAGGGTCGACTGTATTGTGTCGGAAAAAGTGTAGTTTGGGGATCGGCCCAGTCTCTATTTCAGTTAATCCCATATGTTCTGTTATTTCGTTTACGCGTTTCTCGTTTTACCCGGACCTCCACGGGTTCAATTGACCGCGTAAATGAAGACTATACTGTATATGATTTGCTTGGCCCTTACAGATGCAGATTTTTTTCAGCAAGTACAGTACAGAGTACTTGTTAACAGATATCCATTAATTGCTTATTCCTTCAATTCCATAGTTGTATTTGCTATAAGATGTATTTTATATTTGTTTATATTACAGGCAAAATGGCGCCAAGGTATGAAATGGCCGTTGGCCTCAAAAAAGGCCACAAGGTCACCAAGAATAAGAGAGAGAAAAAACCCAGTTCTCGCAAAGGGGTAAGTCCATACTTTGTACTGACTGTAGGTGTTACATGCAGAATAGAGGAGGGTATAGTATTGCTTTAGAAAGCAATGCTTTTTTGCACAATTACAGAATAGGGGCTAGCATACCGGTAGACCTATCGGAGTTGTATAGAGTTCAGAAAAGTTTTTGTGACATCCTATGTTAACATTATCAGTTCATATAGTATTTATATTTTAAAACTTTAAAAGGAAATCCTTAAATTTGTAATTTATGGAATAATTTCATAAATTACAAATTCTAGGATTTCTTTTTAATCAGATGCATATATGCAAAGCTGAAGAGTTGCACATTATCTCTGTTTGCTGAATTGAATATTGAACAATTAGTTTTTGCCTTGCTCCTTGTAAGATAGTTAAAAGACCCTGCATCTAAACAGAATACTTCTGGTATATAGATAAGGATTAGGAAGGGAAGAAGATTGGGATATTGAATTATTTTGTTGAAATAGGTTTGAGAATGTTTTCTCCTAATTGTGAAATCTTAAATTGGCAATCATGAAAATAATTAATTTTTGGTGCAGTAATGCTGATAGTCAGTAACACATTGTGTATACTTGTAGAATGTACAGGGGTACAATGAAATAAAGTACAGTGGTCCCTCGTTTAACGAACTCAATCCGTTCCAGCAGGTTGTTCGTTAACTGAAAAGTTCGTTAACCGAAACCATTGTTTCAATGGGTTTTTGGGTAATTGGTTCCAGCTCACCAAAAATTTCCTAAATTCAACAAAAATGGTAGAAAAGTTCACTTACTTTGAGGTGTGTACAGTTTTACCCCGCCTAACGCGGTTTCACTTAACGCGTTTTCGCATATACGCAGTGCCTTGCCAAAGCTGAACTTTCACTTAACGCGGATTTTTTCCACATATACGCGGTGAGTGTCCGAGACGCTATTTTTAGATTTGCCCCACCCGCCACCCTGCCTGACTGCCTGTTTTAGCTCATAAAATTCATACAAATTACCAGGCCAGAATATAATTTACATTGCTAGAATTCTTATAATTTGGTGATCATTTTGAATATAAACATCATATATTTTGCTTTAAACTTACAATTTTTAGATAAAATTTTTTCTCTAGGTAACTATGGTATCTTTTGTGCAAAATATATGACATTTATATTCAAAATATTCCTGGTCTTACAAGGAATCCAGCAATGTCAATTATATTATCCTAACTTTAGTTTGAGGTATTATTTATTAAAATTTAGTGGTTATCCCACACATCTCCTTGGGACGGTTGGTGGGGGGTGGGGGGGAGGGAGGGACCGACCGACCATCTGTTACCCTGTGAAGAATTATTTTTTTTTTATTAACTGAAGATATTTGTTTTAGCTCATAAAATTCATACAAATTACCCGGTCAGAATATAATTTACATTGCTGGAATTCTTATAATTTGGTGATCATTTTGAATATAAACATCATATATTTTGCTTTAAACTTACAATTTTTAGATAAAAATTTTTCTCTAGGTAACTATGGTATCTTTTGTGCAAAATATATGACATTTATATTCAAAATATTCCTGGTCTTACAAGGAATCCAGCAATGTCAATTATATTATCCTAACTTTAATCTGAGGTATTATTTAATACTAAATGTTAAAAACTCTGGAAGGGAGGATTGGTGGGGGGTGGGGGGGAGGGTTGGGACTGACCGCGCGGTTGGAAGAGGGGGGGAGGCAAGGTGGGGTACTTTGATTGACAGATAGTGTCGTGAAGATTATTATTTTTTTATTAACTGAAGATATTTGTTTTAGCTCATAAAATTCATACAAATTACCCGGTCAGAATATAATTTACATTGCTGGAATTCTTATAATTTGGTGATCATTTTGAATATAAACATCATATATTTTGCTTTAAACTTACAATTTTTAGATAAAAATTTTTCTCTAGGTAACTATGTTATCTTTTGTGCAAAATATATGACATTTATATTCAAAATATTCCTGGTCTTACAAGGAATCCAGCAATGTCAATTATATTTTCCTAACTTTAGTTTGAGGTTATCCCACACATCTCCTTGGGACGGTTGGTGGGGGCTGGGGGGGTTAGGGAGGGACTGACCGACCATCTGTTAGCTGGCTGTGTAGTGTGAGAGGGGGAGGGAGTTGAGTCCATTATTTGAATGGACATTAACTTGGCGACTGTATTTCTCTATTTCTCTTAAGTATTAATTGTGCGCATGTACCATCATAAAATTAAGATGTTATTTTTACTACAACATAGGTATGTGCCTTCAAAAAGTGGAGTTTGGGGGTCGGGCCGGTTTCTATTGGAATTAATCCCATATGTTCTGTTGTTCACTTAACGCGGATTTCACTTAACGCGGGACCCTCTGGGTTCAATTGACCGCGTTAAGTGGGGTACAACTGTATGTAGAAGGCTCCTGCATTATATATTGTCAATATGTAAAATATATTTCAAAATGACCAATAATTTGCTTGGAAACACAGAAAAAAGGCGTTTAGTTGAAGAGTCTCAAGCAAGATGTTACCTCCAGTGAAAACAGAGAGAGTCTAACGCCTGTTTGCTGTGTTAAGAGGCTGGATGCCACGCATTAAACTAGTCACTTTACCTTCAATTATGTTCAATAATTGTTAAAATGACTAAAAATTGAATGTTAAACTTTTAAAATTATTGAATAGTATAAACTTCTTGATATTTACTAAAATAAGTAAGGAGTTTAAGCCCTAGAACCGATTAATGTATTGGTGGACTGATACTAAAGCTGGTTGCCCGGCCAGTGCAACCAGGTTCGTAAGAAATTCGTTAACCGAATTGAAGATTCTTATGGAAGACAGTTCGTTAACCGAGGCGTTAGTTAACCGAGGGATCACTGTATTGGGGATTTTTATTGTTTAAGGTTTTGTGAGATGTCCTGTTAGAATATGATTTTGATTGGTGGTAAATTTGAATTTCACATAATACTACAGTTATTGAATATATTGCAAATTTAATGTGGATAACTGTTATTACTCCTTTAATTTCAGAAAATCACAAAGCGCAACAAATTTGTGAGAGATATTGTCCGTGAAGTTATGGGTTTTGCTCCATATGAAAAGCGTACCATTGAATTGTTGAAAGTGTCGAAGGATAAAAGGGCCTTGAAGTTCCTCAAAAAAAGGGTAAGTTTTTTATTTTTCTAATTAAAACAATGTCAGTGATATCTAAAGTTTACAAAGCAACTGTATTTGGCTGTTTATTTAAATACTGCTTGGATGCAGCCATTATTATTCACTTTCCACTTTAAAACAATTTAGATCAAGTCCTAGGTTCTGATCACATTGGGCAAGATGCATATGTTGGCAAATTTCTGTATCTTTGACTACAATATTGCTTCTCTTTTGAATGGAGAGGGGTGAAAATTTTTAAAAGTGTAATGATACAAAATGCAAAGGGAAGGTGAGCGCTGCTGTTCACTACTCTTGTGGTAGTGAAAGAGATGGAAAAGTTTATAGCGAAAGGGAACCTAAATGGTGACAAAAGCAAGAAGGAAAAGTTTATAGCGAAAGGGAACCTAAATGGTGACAAAAGCAAGAAGGAAAAGTTTATAGCGAATGGGAACCTAAATGGTGACAAAAGCAAGAAGAGTACAGAACAGATATTGGGAAGTAAATGTTATTTTTAAATAGAGATGACAGAGGAAGTGGTGTTTCGGATATATTTCAGTAGATGTGTTAGTCCATTATATAGTGAATGATGAACTGAACTACTGAGTAGAAAATGTAAGGAAGAAAAAACAGTATCGAAGAGATAGATGATGATGTGCAGGTGACTCATTCAGTTGTCATTGTTATATGAGAAAGCATGGGCACTAGATGCAAGAGGAAGGAGCACACTAGAAACAATAGAAATGATGTGTGGAAATAGTCAGTAAAAGTTCTTTGTTAATTTAGTTTTGTACAGTAAGATCTTGTATTTCACGAGTAATATAGACTGGAAAAATTGCGCCAAATGCAAATACATAAACTAATGGGAAAATAACAATATAGACTGGCCACTCTACATCAACCTCTGATTTTCCCATTTATTACCTCCAAATGATACAAATTCTGTCTTTGTTGACCTGATTGTGCTTTCCAGAAACTAGTTTTTAGGCCTTCCTCAAGTAACTTAATCACACGCTGCTTATCCTGCATCAAGTATGTGGCAAACTTAACCCCCTTATGATAGTCCCACTTCTCCTTTTCCTTATTTGGCCACTTAGGTGGGTCTGTCCCTCCCCCCACCAGCACCAGTAGGACCCCCCAGTAGATGTAGAGGCCATTATCTTGACTTGACAGGTGGTAGCACCACCCAAAAAGCATACAATAGCAGCCCGGGTGGTCGCGGGGGTGGCGCGGGCTACAACGCAATAGTTGCATTCTTGTAAACCCCATTTACTTTCACCACCGGCAATTCGATCACCAGAACGCTTCGTGGAAACATCCTTCTTACCTTGTCTTTCCATATTCATCGCTAACACAATAAAATTGGAGAAAAAAGCAAAAATCATGGAGTAATCGACAGAAACCGTGTGATTCAACTGATCATGCGATGTAAACAGAGAGCGCTGATGTAAACCGTTAGTCCTCACTGTGAAACATTCTTTTTACTTATTCTTTTCATACAGTATTTATGGGTAATAGCTAAATTTGGAAAGAAAAAAACGAAATTTACAGAATACCTCTCAAAAAACACTTCACAAACAAAAGACACGAATCAATTGAACATGCGAGGTCGAATGTGAACTGTAAGCATTGCATAACCCCGCGCCATGCTTAAAATGTTGAGGATGGAATGGTGCTATAACCAACATTCCAATGCAAAAGTTCGGGTTTTACAAACAGCGTTCCCCTATTCATCAATCGCGTTGACAAAACACACGTTGTAGCAGAAATGACTGTAACTGGTATGAGGGCTGTGACGTCATTCAAGACAGTGGCCAGCGTTCAGCTGGCTAAATCTCGCGAAACTCACGATATTTTACACCAAATGTAAGACTTGGTTACATTAGGTAGTGCTTGCAAAATTCAAAACCACGAAATATGAGATCTTACTGTATTTTAATTGATTTTTGTGACTATAAAGTATGATAACTTTATTATCATTGGCATAATTTTCTTGATATGCCTTTAACAGCTGGGTACCCATATCCGTGCCAAGAGGAAGCGTGAAGAGATGCAACGCGTCATGGGTCAACAGAGGAAGGCTGCAGCTGCTGCCGCAGCAGCCGCAGCTGCTGCTGCTGCTGCTACTGCAAGCCATAAGTAGTTTGTGTAGAATAAAGAAAAACATTCTTTAAGGATTTTCTTATCCATCCATATTATCGAAGTAGATATCCAGGTACAGTATTTGTTTGTACAGATACTGTCAATGAACAATATAATCTAGAAAATGTCCCAATCATGTAAGCTAGGATAGGTGCAGAAGTGTTCCTCTCCAGTTCAGTGGAAAATAACAAGTTTGGAGAAATGTGGCCAGAAAATTCTTGAATTTCATTTAACTAAAATTTTTTGCAACATACTGTACATTCACTCCCTCATTTACGTAATTTTTTATATTGCTCTTCCACTATTCACTTCGAACTTTCCTGCTACTGTTTCAAACTTTTCCAAATACACTATGTACAGTATCTCAATAGGCATTTGCCATGATGGGTATGATTACTTACAAAATGCTACATGCCACTCGTGATGTCCCAGTAGGTTTGGTATGTATGATTCTGTGGCATACTGATATAACTACATTTGGTAGCATTTATTACACCAAAATAAATACGCATTGCATTACTTATGTTAGTTTATACAGGGCAGGAATGCGTATATCCCTATATCTCAATTGGGGTCTGATAGTGTTTCACACAGTGTGGGCAGATACTTTGGGTTGTATACAATCAACAAAAAATTTTCTGCACCCCTGGGTCTGATGGCCTTTGCAATGATCACTGACTGAGGCCATGTTCATTTGGTAAGTTTGGTAGTTTTCTAATTCTGTGATTCATTATGCAGTCCAGTCATGGGCTGCATTGCAATTTAGGTATTTTTCTGTGGGCCAACCCATCAAAATTTATATCCAACCTACCCCAAAATTATGTTAATATTGTATTTGCACGGACAGTAAAACATTTTATCGTCACGTCAAACTTAAGGTATTTTCAGTTTACAATCGGTCTTTTTCTCATTTATGGAACAAATCCATTATTATAATTTTTAAGTAGTATGTTAAAGTTTCTTGACATATATATATATATATATATATATATATATATATATATATATATATATATATATATATATATATATATATATATATATATATATATATATATATATATATATACACACACACCTAGACCCCGACTTACGACTACGTGGACTTACGACCGTCGGGACTTACGACCGCCTCAGATATAGATAAAAAAATAAAAATAAAAAAATAAAAATTTTAAATGACACACGCATTTTCTATACCGAAACGTTTCCAGTTAATGTAGTCTCCATGTATAATTAGAAAATTATGGGGGCCCCATGTGCATTCAGCTGACTACATTAAAGGTTAAGTGCTCAGTCACACTGTATCCATTCCATATTATTTATTACTTTTAATGTACTGTATCCATTCATCATTATTCATTACTTTTACTGTACTGTATTTCATTGTAGATTTTTTTTTATCTATGTCGGACTTACGACCATGTCGGACTTACGACCTGGATTTGGGTCCCTAACCCCGTCGTAAGTCGGGGCCTAGGTGTATGCTGATAACCACAAGGTGTATATATATATGTGTGTATGTATATATATATATATATATATATATATATATATATATATATATATATATATATATATATATATATATATATATATATATATATATATATATATATATATATATATAATTATCCACAATGAAAACGTGGATAAGATAAATCTTGATAAAATCACACGGGAAAAGGGAAACAACGGAACACTTTAGCTTTCGTCTTTATTCAAGACATCTTCAGAGGCAACTGGATTACATGGACAGAGAGAGGCTTAAATATACAGGGTGACCTTAAAAACATGAGGTCAGGTCATAATGATGTCATCCACTCATCCCCACGCCAACACACACGTAGAGGAATTTAAGAGAAGGGGGGTGACGTGACTAATCAGGTCAGGTCAAAAATAAGGGACCCACAAAATAACTTTCATACATCTAGATCAAAGGTATTCAAAGCATTTTTAACCTTGGGCCACTGACAAATAAATTTATGTAACATACTATCAGTTTTGAACTGACCATTACTAAGGTTTATTGATTTTAATTCCTTAATCAAACTAGCTTCAACCAGAAGTCTTTCTGTGTCACAAGATGATTTAAATACTTCTAAGCTTTTTTCCCAAGCAATGGGATGATTATCATTCCTAACATGAACGAACAAGGCACTGCTTTCAGATGTTGTTCTGATATTATACCTGTACTTATGTTGTTTGATTCTGAGCTGCAGTGTTTTTCCTGTCTGTCCTACATAATTACAATTACATTTGCTACATGGAATGCAATAAACACTTCCATTTACATTCAAACTTGGGCTATTTCTTATTAACTTATTGGTGATGGTTGAGTCATACTTGAAAACAACATTAATATTTAGAAGCTTGAGGGACCGAACTAACAGGACAAATTCATTACGATAGGGCAGAGTCAAAATATTCTTAAGTGTAGGAATTTGCCTGGTTTGAGAGGAATGAAAGGATTTCTTAGCCCTTTTAAAACAACAATCAACAAACACAGAAGGGTACCCGAGTTTCTGTGCAATGGAACGAATGTGTTTCAATTCAGAGTCACAAATACGCAGACATCTTAAGAACATAGCAGAAAATACTGACATTTTGGTAGACTCAAGGTGATTCGATAAAAAGTGAATGAAACTGTCTACCTGTGTGGGCTTTCTGTATACCTTAAATTTATAGTTTTGGCCATTTCTCATGATAAGCATATCAAAGAATGGAAGGGATTCATTTATTTCTCTTTCAATTTTGAATGTGATACTTGGGACAATATCATTAAGCTTGTCTAAAAATTCCAATGGGTTACTGTTTCTAGGCCAAAGACAAAGAACATCATCTACATATCTTCTGGTTGAAGCTAGTTTGATTAAGGAATTAAAATAAATAGACCTTAGTGATGGTCAGTTCAAAATTGATAATATGTTACATAAATTTATTTGTCAGCGGCCCAAGGTTAAAAATGCTTTGAAAACCTTTGATCTAGATGTATGAAAGTTATTTTGTGGGTCCCTTATTTTTGACCTGACCTGACTAGTCACGTCACCCCCTTCTCTTAAGCTCCTCTACATGTGTGTTGGTGTGGGGATTAGTGGATGACATCATTATGACCTGACCATGTTTTTAAGGTCACCCTGTATATTTAAGCCTCTGTCCATGTAATCCAGTTGCCTCTGAAGATGTCTTGAATAAAGACGAAAGCTAAGGTGCTCCGTTGTTTCCCTTTTCCCGTGTGATTTTATCAAGATATATATATATATAAGGTACTCCTCAACTTACGACCTACTGGACTTGCGAACTCCCAGACATACTAACGCCCCAGTCGTACCAAAAAAATTTCAAATTACGTATTTCGAGTCCCAGCCTCAGTGATTGCGCTGTGTACTGACAAAATTTTCGTTTATAATTCCCTTTAAAATGGCTGGCAAGCCTAACAGTGAGAGTTTTGTGGTGCTGAGAATAAAGAGACCCACTTTAGATTTTCTATGTATTATTTTCGCATGTTCGACACTACCTTAATTTGGTGCCTGTGTGTATATATATATATATATATATATATATATATATATATATATATATATATATATATATATATATATATATATATATATATATATATATATATATACCCCGACTTACGACTCGTGGACTTACGACGTGGGACTTCGACACGCCTCGAATATAGATAAAAAAAAAAAAATTTTTTTTTTTTTTAAATATTACATTTTCTATACCGAAACGTTTCCAGTTAATGTAGTCTCCATGTATAATTAGAAATTATGGGGCCCCATGTGCATTCAGCTGACTACATTAAAGGTTAGTGCTCAGTCACACTGTATCCATTCCTTATTATTTATTACTTTCACTGTACTGTATCAATTCATCATTATTCATTACTTTTACTGTACTGTATTTCATTGTAGATTTTTATTAAAAAAAAATTTATCTCAATGGACTTACGACCTGGATTTGGGTCCTAACCCTAATGAAGTCGGGGTCTAGGCCTAGACCCGACGTACGACTGGGTTAGGGACAAAATCAGGTCGTAAATCCAATAGATTTTTAAATAAAAATCTACAATGAAATACAGTACAGTAAAAGTAATGAATAATGATGAATGGATACAGTACAGTGAAAGTAATAACTAATAAGGAATGGATACAGGTGATGAGCACTTAACCTTAATGTAGTCAGCTGAATGAATCCCCATAATTTTCAATTATACATGGAGACACATTAACTGGAACGTTTCGGTATAGAAAATGTCATTTAAATTTTTTTTTTTTTTTTTAATCTATATCTGAGGCGGTCGTAAGTCCACGTAGTCGTAAGTCAGTCTAGGTGTATATATATATATATATGCAATTCACATCTAGAGATACACGATACATATATATATATATATATACTGTATATATATATATATATATGCGCTTTCGTAATTCACATCTTCAGGAGTACAGACTAAAGAGAAGTACAAAACAAGGTATATATACAGAGGAGGGTGAGACCAGGTCCACAATGGTCAGGTATTAGGTAATGACCCTACTAATCTTTAAATAGCACCAGAACAGTCGGTAGTCAGGTCAGAGGGTAAGGTGACCCAACCTTCTCACCTGGTTACAAATCATCTTAATTACAAAATTGTCCAGTTTGTACATGCCATTACTCAAATTCATGTTGAATGCTTCAGTATGTTTAATGAGACTAGATTCTATGATGTTCCTACTGTCAATTGAATTACAAGGTAATATTGAGGAGGCATTATCCCAGTCAATGCAATGCTTGTTATCCCTCAAATGAACAAACAGAGCATTGGATTCCTGGCCTGTCCTAACACTATATTTATGTTGTTTAAGTCTAGTTACAAGATCTTTACCTGTCTGCCCTAAGTAAAACATATTACATTCCTTGCAAGGAACTTTATAAATGCAACCAATTGTGTTGTTGGGGGAGTTCTTGATTAACATTTGTTTAACAGTGCATGAGTTTTAAATCCCACATTGATGTTTCAGGTTTTTAGT